GCCTCTTTGGCCCCTGGAGTGTGGCTCTTCCACAAAATACCATGTGCGGGCGCACACATACAGTGCGCCTGAAACTTCGTGGCCCATGCGCAGAAGTCAGTACTTTGTGGAAGAGCCACACTCAAGGGGCCAAAGAGCCGCATGTGGCTTGTGAGCCGCAGTTTGCTGACTCCTGGGCTAGGGCAACAATTCTATTTTCAATAGCAACAACAAGTATAAAATACTTAGGAGTATATTTAGCCACTGAGATAAAGACTTGTAAATGGAAAAGTATAAAACATAGCTGAAATAAATTTACACAGGCTTAAATGGAAAAACATCTGTGTTCACGGACTGGAAGACTTCGAAGTCTTCCAGTTAAGAAGCCAATGGGGCTTAAAGCAATCTACAGATTCAATAAAATCCTCATCAAAATCCCCATGGCGTCTTTTGAAGAAATACAAAGCCTATTCTGAAGTTCAGGTAAAATCTCAAGGGACCCCAAATAATGAAACAGTCTTGAAAAAGAAAGATAGTTCAAGGACTCACACTTGCTGATTTAAAACATAGTACAAAACTACAGCAATCAAAGTAAGTGTTGTTCTGTCATTAAACAGATAGATAGTTAAAATGGAACAGGATAGAAAATCTAGAAATAAACCCTCACATATATGGTCAAATGATTTTCCACAAAGACCCCAAGGCTATTGAATGAAGTGTTGCAACACATGGTGCTGGGACATTGGATGTCCACCTGCAAAAGAATGAAGTTGGACCTTTATCTTATATCATAAACAAAAAAAAAATGCAACATGAATCAGAAACCTGCAAAGGTGACCCACAGAATGTTCTTTCTGATTTTACTTATTTGCATCTTCTCCATTATTTTCTTAGTCAACATCTATACAAATAAAGAGGTAATATGCAAATTAGGCCAGGACACCATAACGGGTCATGACCAGACAGGAGAAGGTTGCGTGGCAGGTGAGGCCTGGAGTGGAGACGGAGACAGACACAGAGGGGCCTGCCCGAGCCCTCACGGCAGCTCAGGCAGCCCAGAGCGGCGGACACAGGCAGGGGGGCCAGGGAGGCCTGGGATGGGCTGAGTCACTGCACCTTGCTAGGGCAGCCCTGGAAGGGACACAGGCAGGGGAGCAGGGGGGCCTGGGGAGGAAGACAGTGGGGGTCCCGC